TTGGATGACAACCTGCTTCTTGAGGACTTATTATTCATCATGAAGGGGTTTATAGTGCAAACAACTTTGTTTTTAGAAGATTAGAATTCTCTGATTTCCATTTGATTTAGAAAAATGGATGGCTGCAACAATGTTTCATCAGTAGAGAAAGGAGCAGGGGAGCAGGTAGCCTTTGGGGATCATTTGTTCAATAACCTTTATAATAATAGTAAGTTAACATTTATTGAGCACCTAACTGTGCATGAAGCATCATTTTTCTAAATTTTTGTTTTTATTACCTCACTTAATCCTCTCAACGGCTGGATTGTCCATTTTGCAGACAGGAGCACTGAGGCTTGGACTTTCTCAAGCTGCATAAGCGGGGAGTTAAGGTTGGTTTTGAACTCAGGTCAAGTGAACTGTCCCTCACTGCAGTGCACCCCTCCCGTGTGCTGACCTGAATCCTGTTGCAGCAGATAAGACCCACCCCCAGTGGTTATTAAACAGTCTCCATAGAGAATTAAAATAAACTATTTTAGTTGTCTGTTCTCTTCCTTTGAAAACTTCAGTCTCACATGTAACCTTCGGATAATGCGACCTACTGAAAATGTCACATTTACAGCTCGTCCCAAAGGGCTTTGGTTTAAAACAGTGGATAACATTTCCCTCTGTTTTCCATTATTTGGTTTAGAAAAAATCATAACAAGACAAAAACAAATTGGTAACCTCTATCATCAATAAACTTTTACTTGATGCCAGGCATCTCTTTTATTTAAGTTAATACATAGAAGCGGTATAGATGTTAATTCTCTTCCTTCTTTAGGTGACATATTGCCATTTAAACCAGCATGTAGTTCCATATCCTTTCTTATTAGCATTTTAGATTCTTGTCAACCAACTTTGTTGCTTCAGTGAGCAGACTCTGGGTTTTGGGGTTTTATATCTAGAAAAGCACTGGGTACTTTTATAGTTTTACTATGCATTCTCCTCAAGGCAAAACTGTTATGCCTATACTGACATGCGCTGACTATGGGACATATCATTAAAAATCGCTAGTCACAGAGGAGCTGAATCTCAGAATAGAGTTGCTAATTTATTAAGATTCTAGTGAGGATCATGGAATTGCCTTAAGGGATTTCATAGGTGGGTTATGGATGCCTTTTGACTGTGCAAGGTTAAAATGGTTGAAATGTTTTTTCTTTAATTTTATTTATTTTAGGCTGCATTGGGTCTTCGTTGCTGCACGTGGGCTTTCTCTAGTTGCGGCGAGCAGGGGCTACTCTTCGTTGTGGTGCGCGGGCTTCTCATTGCAGTGGCTTCTCTTGTTGAGGAGCACGGGCTCTAGGCACGCGGGCTTCAGTAGTTGTGACACACGGGCTTAGTTGCTCCGCGGCACGTGGGATCTTCCCAGGCCAGGGATCAAACCCATGTCGCCCTGCATTGGCAGGCAGATTCGTAACCACTGTGCCACCAGGGAAGTCCCAAAATGGTTGAAATTTGATAGCATGAAAAGTCATTGGCTTACTGAAAATAGGCCTTTTCTTGGATTCTCTCAGGTTCCCTTGAGCCAATTCCACTAGAAAATCATTAGCATGTTTACATGAATAATTTCAAACCACCAGCAGGTAATGTGGAGACCTCAATCCAGTTTTTTTTTCTTTAAGTGGAACTTAAAATGTATGTCTAGATACATTCTTCTCTTATTTTCTCCCATCCTGATGCCTGCCCTGTTTGTCTCTACCGGACAAATAGCAGGAAGAGAAACAAAGACGGAGGAAAAGAAAGGGAGCCAGTTTGTTCTTAAAAACCTTGCGGGGCTGCAAAGAAGCTGTAAGTCACAATGCACAGAATATAGTTGGAAAGACTCTCTGTCGTTACTGAAATCTGTGTGGCATTAAGTAATTTAGAGCAGGAAATGATCTTAGAATTCTAGAAAGATTCAAGTGATTAGACAGTTGGAGAGTGAGGGTTCACGCTGGACCATTCACTTCAGGTGAGGTCCGGGGAGTCACTTAAGTCCCTGCCAAGAGCTTTAACCGTCTCGTTTGGGCTCCTTGAAGACAGGAACCAGGTCCTAATCTTTTCTGCATCTACAGCGAATCGAGTACTACAGTAGTAGGTGCTTCACAAACATCTGTTGGATGATTGAACTGTTGGCTCCTAATGTCACCAAAGGATGGGCGTCACTGTTCCCACACAGCTGTGGTGCCCATGGAATCAGTGATAGCAGTTCAATTATTCAGTTCACTCTAAACCTGGCTCATTGGATGCTCTCAACTCTGTATTTGGAACCTCCTTTTCCTGTTCAGTAATGTCTCCCATAGGACTTCTCGGCCTGATTCCATAACTTATGAGCCACGTTTGGTTACTAGAATAGTTCCTATTGTTTTATTCAAGACTCAGGGCTCTTCGTTTAAAAAAGTCAGACTTGCATGTGATTCAGATCTTATGCCCTCCCCTCTCTCCAGCATAGCCTAGAGCTCTGGCTAGTGACTTGGAGTATAGGTAAGGGTGGACGTGTGCACGACTGTGTAAACTTGTGTAAGTTTGTATAAGTGTGTGAGTGTGTAAAGGCTTGGACATCTCTTCATCCAAGAACTCACTTCTCCAAGGTGCTGGGGTCAAGGGAAGGAAAAGGCCAAACATCTTCCTGCCATCCTGGGCAAGTTTCATCCTCTACTGACCACGGGCTCACTCCCAAGCCGTTCCCTAAGAATTAGCAAATCCTTTCAAGACACAGCTGCATCTTACAGCAGACCCCTGGCTTGTGGCATTCCATTGCATTTCCCCGATGTATGCACCTCATTATCCTTCATGCTGTGACAGTCCCCAGGCTCTGCTACCAGAGCTAGAGCTCCTTAGCAGTGCAAGTTCTACCCTCTGTACCTTTCTCCTCCAGGGTCTCAAGGGGGTGGTCCTGGCTTCCTCTCTCCTGGCAGTCTCATGCCTGCCTCTCCCTCCCTGCCATGTCGCATTTCCATAATTCTCTTTCTCATGGTCACAAGCACTGGGGTCAAATCACAAGTCCCCTAGCTAAGCAGTCATCTAACTAAGAAATGAAAACTTGGTCTCCGCTTCCTTCAGGAGCCCTTTTCTCGGCCAGTGAGTCTCTTGAGGCCCCTGTTAGGACGAATGGGGGGAACAGTGTCAAATACATCCCTCTCCCTAGTGCCACCTCCTCACTCTTAAAATTCCCCCTTTGTATGGACTAGGGTGATGTGAAGGGAGGCAGTCGGGGGTGGAGACAGTCCAAAGATACTTCTTGGCGATTCTTGTAAGCCCTGAAGAGAGGAGACCATCCCTAAATAACAGCATATGGACAATGTGGTGTATTGGGCCTTAGCTCCAGTTCTAGGACAGTTAAGAAAAGTTCTAGTGAATTTTTAAAAATTAGTTAATTAATTAATTTTTGGCTGTGTTGGGTTTTTGTTGCGGTGCACGGGCTTCTCATTGAGGTGGCTTCTCTTGCTGTGGAGCACGGGCTCTAGGTGCGCGGGCTTCTGTAGTTGTGGCACGTGGGTTCAGTAGTTGTGTCTTGCGGGCTCTAGAGTGCAGGCTCAGTAGTTGTGGTGCACGGGCTTAGTTGCTCTGCGGCATGTGGGATATTCCCGGACCAGGGCTTGAACCCATGTCCCTTGCATTGGCAGGCAGATTCTTTACCTCTGTGCCACCAGGGAAGCCCAAGAAAAGTTCTAGTGTATTTTTGCATAGGCTTCAGATGAGCATTCTAACTCTTTATTTACAGCCAAACTACACTTACCTTTAAACTTAACAAAGAGTACAAGCTAAGAACTAAAATAAGAGGCAAAAGGTAAATAAATAAAATGAAACAAATTCAAAGTATAAAGCAAACTGTTTAGTACAAATATAACTTTTTTTTTTTTGCGGTACACGGGCCTCTCACTGTTGTGGCCTCTCCCGTTGCGGAGCACAGGCTCCAGACGCGCAGGCTCAGAGGCCATGGCTCACGGGCCTAGCCGCTCCGCGGTATGTAGGATCTTCCCGGACTGGGGCACGAACCTGTGTCCCCTGCATCGGCAGGCAGACTCTCAACCACTGCGCCACCAGGGAAGCCCTATAACTTTTTAAAATAATAATAATAATAATAATAATGGCTTACTATGTGTCAAGCACTGTTCTAAATTGACATGTATCACCTCATTTAACCCTTGCAACAATGCTATAAGTTCTTTTATTATTAGCATTTTATAGATAAGAAAATGGAGGCACGGAGAGATGATCTGTACTTGGACACAAGTGAGTGCACCAGCAGCAAGTGTATTAAAAAGATATTGAGCTGGGGACTTCCCTGGTGGTGCAGTGGTTAAGACATCGCACTCCCAATGCAGGGGGCCCAGGTTTGATCCCTGGTCACGGAACTAGATCCCACATGCATGCCTCAACTAAGACTTTGCATGCCACAACTAAGGAGCTGGTGAGCCACAACTAATGAGCCCGTGGGCCGCAACTAAGACCTGGTGCAACCAAATAAATAAATTAATTAACTTAATAAAAGATACTGAGCTGATTTTTGTAATTAGCGTTCTATGTGTGCCAATTACAAAAACAGTTTTTAGGGCACTGTCGCAAAATCTAGAAATTTAAGGTGTTTAGCATCATATCCTCCCAAGAGCAGCACAAGTGTAGTGGTTAAGCACACAGATTCTAGAACCAGATTATATAAGTTCAAATCTTGGCTGTCCTTTTTACTAGCTGGGTGGCCATTTACAGCTGGGGTCCCTGTGTCTCAGTTTCCAGTAAGTGGTATTTAGCCTGAAAGGTTACTGGCAGAGTTAAGAGAGTTGGTATGTCTACAGCAGCACTGTCAAATAGAATAGCATGTGAGCCATCTATTTAATTTTAAATTTTTTAGTAGCCTCATTAAAAAGGGGGGAGAAGGAACAGGTGAAGTTAATTGGAATAATATATTTTACTTAACCTGATATGTCCCAAACGTTATCATTTCAATGTGTAATTAAAATTATTAATGAGATATTTTACATTTGTTATTTTTTGTTCAGAGTCTTTGGAATCTGGTGTATATTTTACACCTGTAGCACGTTCAGTTTGGACCAGCCTCATTCCACGTGCTTAATGCCCATGCGTGACCAGTGGCTCTCGGAAGGGGCAGTGCAGCTGCAGAGCACTTAGAACAGTGCCAGGCACATAGTAAGTGTTACTCAAAGGTTACTGATTATTTTACCTTCCAAATATTTTTCGAGTCACTCACTTCTCTCCTTCTCCACTGACATGCCTTAGACCAACTTATCGTCATCTTTGCCAAAAAAGATGGATGAGCTTCCTAACTTGGCCTCCCCATATTCACTAGCCACAGCCCTCGGCCGTCTATTCTTCATACTGAAGACCAAGAAATCCTTTCAAAATATGTATCTGATCATTTCCTCGCTCCATTACCCCTGAGCCTTCCCTGTACCGTATTCCTGCCTCTCTGTGCTTCAGCCACTAACCTTTGTTCTGTTCCTTGGACTGGCCAGATACTTGCTGAGCCCTTCCCTCCGGAACTCCCATTGGTACTTCCTCTGGCATCCCTGTTTGTACTTCCTCCCTCTTTATATCTTCCTCAGGAAGCTTTTTCTGGTGGCTTCCAGTCTCTGTCAGATGAGTTTGTTAAAATGCCGTCATAGAATCATGTTGCTTTTTTTTTTTTCCAAAGCTCTTATCTCTGTAATTTTGCTTTCATAGTGCAATAAATTAATTAACCTGTCTACTGTCCCAACTAGACTTTAAATTCTTTCAGGGCAGACACTGCATTTGTTTTTGTTCACCATTTTGTCCCCTATACCTAGCCCAATGCCTAGCACCTTGCTGACCGTCATGAAATATTTTTTAATAAATGACTGAAGTAAGTAAATATGCAGTTATTGCTCTACGAGACCCTAAAAAATCAGAATGAAGGGAATTTAAAACCAGGAAGAAAGTGCCACAAGGCCAGCTTTTAGTTTAATTTAAATTCTTTTTTTCTAACGTCTTTATTGGAGTATAATTGCTTTACAATAGTGTGTTAGTTTCTGCTTTATAACAAAGTGAATCAGTTATACATATACATATATCCCCATATATCCTCCCTCTTGCATCTCCCTCCCACCCTCCCTATCCCACCCCTCTAAGTGGACACAAAGCACCGAGCTGATCTCCCTGTGCTATGCGGCTGCTTCCCACTGGCTATCTATTTTACATTTGGTAGTGTATTTATGTCCATGCCACTCTCTCACTTCATCCCAGCTTACCCTTCCCCCTCCCCGTGTCCTCAAGTCCATTCTCTACGTCTGTGTCTTTATTCCTGCCCTGCCCCTAGGTTCTTCAGAACCACTTTTTTTTTTTTTTAGATTCCATATATACATGTTAGCATGCGGTATTTGTTTTTCTCTTTCTGACTTACTTCACTCTGTATGACAGTCTCCAGGTCCATCCACCTCACTACAAATAACTCAGTTTTGTTCCTTTTTATGGCTGAGTAATATTCCATTGTATATATGTGCCACATCTTCTTTATCCATTCATCTGTCGATGGACACCTAGATTGCTTCCATGTCCTGGCTACTGTAAATAGAGCTGCAATGAACATTGTGGTACATGACTCTTTTTGAATTATGGTTTTCTCAGGGTATATGCCCAGTAGTGGGATTGCTGGGTCGTATGGTAGTCTATTTTTAGTTTTTTAAGGAACCTCCATACTGTTCTCCATAGTGGCTGTATCAATTTACATTCCCACCAACAGTGCAAGAGCGTTCCCTTTTCTCCACTAAATTCTTAAAGGATAAGAGCAGAGGAATTCTAGACTAGAGTAACTCCCCATGTAATAAGATTCAGAAAATTTCACAAATATGGAAATAACAACATTTAGACTGACATGAGACAAAGACAAGCATGGATTGTGCCCTTAACCACCCCAAGCATGGAAAACCAGCTTAAAAAAGTGAAAAAAGGAGATGAGGAACAGGAAGGAATATTGTGAGCCACGTTCTACTTCTCATGTGCCTGAAAAATTAAGTATGAGTTGAGCATGGAGAAGCATTGGTGGTAAAGGAGGCCTGGGAGCCAGCTTTTATGCGATGGTCCCGTACTGTTTTCTTACAAATAGTTGAAGTATCATGGAAATTCTATTATCTCAGCAAATAGCAATTAATTGAAGTTGGTCGATGAATCAACAAGTATTTGTCTTCCATATTCTATGTGCTGAGAATACAGAGGAAAACAAGGCAGCTGTGGTCTCTGTATTATATAGATTTAGGGATGCCATCAGTTCTTTCTTCCTTCCCTCTCAGTCCTATGTCAACTGAGCCCAGACCTGAGAACTAGATTAGGATTAAAGTACAGTGTCAGGACATGTAAAATAAGTGACAGTAATGGTGGTTCAGTGAATCTCACGAATAAGGTAGGTAACTCATGCTTCTCACTCACCTTCTAGGAGATGGTGGAGAAACCGAGTTGAAGAATTCTCCCGCACTGCTCCCTCCTGGAGTGCACAGTGCATGACTCCTCCTCTCTAAGAAAACGTGAGAAATAGATGAGCATATCTACTCATTGCTAACACTGAGTTTCCAGCCTTATCAGTTGAGTGGAGAGAGAACGCTAGAAAGAGGAGCAGGTTGGAAATGGGAGGAGGAAGAGAGATCAGATGACTTCCATTCCGGATGAGCTAAGTTATTCTCCGATAATAAATTAGTCACAAAATTCTCAGCGGCGCACCTCAGCAAAGTTTTAGTTCGTGCTCACACCATGTCTGCTGTGCATTTGGCAGCTTGCTAGAGCGACTCCCCAACAAGCACTGAAAGAAAGCCGCTCTGTGGTCTCCCCATGACTTCCAGATTTCCAGGTGATTTCTAGATTGCAGGGGCAGAGAGAGCAGGCGTTCACTGCCTCAGCCCGGAAGTAGCATTCACGTGTGTTCACAGTCCATTGTGCAGAGATAGTCACATGACTTTCCCTAACTGCAAAGAGGGCTGTAAGATGTTGTCTTCTATGTGCCCAGGAAGGAGGACAACTAAATGTTCACATACGTTAAGAATGTCCAGGGCTTCCCTGGTGGCGCAGTGGTTGAGAGTCCGCCTGCCGATGCAAGGGACAGGCGCTCGTGACCCGGTCCGGGAAGATCCCACATGCTGCGGAGTGGTTGGGCCCATGAACCATGGCCGCTGAGCCTGCGCGTCCGGAGCCTGTGCTCCGCAACGGAGAGGCCACAACAGTGAGAAGCCCGCGTACCGAAAAAAAAAAAAAAAAAAAAAAAAAAAGATATAAATGAACTTATTTACAAAACAGAAACAGACTCACAGATTTTGAAAACAAACTTATGGTTACCAAAGGGGAAGCATGAGAGTGAGGGATAAATTAGGAGCTTCTTTCACTTTTAATTTCTAACTTAATGCATATCTTCCTCACTAGACTGTAAGCATGTAGCAGCGGCCCCTCTGTCCTATTTCCTGTGGAACCCTCATCTGGCAGAGAGCGAACATTCCATAATGTTTTCTGAACAGAAGCATCAGTCAGACCATAAGACGGCAGGAGAGGGCACAGGTAGAAGGAGCACTGTGGTGACTCGGGAAACTGTGCCCAGGTGGGCTCTGATTGTGTCTGGCCATGGCCGTGTGGGAGCTGTGTGGGTGCTCTGTGTCTCTCGATGTAGATAGAACTCACCCAAACAGCGTTAACGTGTAAAAGCCCATGTAATTGTAGCTGCTGGGCAAAGTTGATTGCAGTATAAGGTGATAACAATATTGAGCATTTCTTGTATAATCAAGCATAGTTATTTTGTCTGTAGTTTAAAGTTGTTTGAGGTTCAAGATTACTTAATTAAAAATTCTGGTTTGTTTACAGAGGAGTACAGGGACTAGAAAAAAGGAGCTGTTTCATGAGACTATTCGAAAGAATATAACTCCCTGAGGAAGCATCAGAATCCACATGTAAGTTTTTGTACCTACATTGGTAAAGATAAACTGCTTATAGCAACACATCTGTTATTTCTTCAGCTTTCATCCAGCAGTGTGCCTCCACAGCCCCACCCCTTTTATCTAGTTGCAGGGTGGTTGGGATGTGTGAGGCTGGGGCATAATTATATAACCCAGGGATTTGCAAATTTTATTTATAAATACTTAATGTTTTGTGGGCTATACAGTCTCTGTCGTAACTACTCAACTCCACTGCCGTAGCCCCAAAGCAGCCATGGACAATACTTAAAAAATGAGCATGGCTGTTGTATTGCTTTTACTGCTGTGTAATAAATTACCACAAGCTTAGTGGCTTAAAGCGGTAGACATTTATTATCTTACAGTTTCCGTAGGTCAGGATTCAGCTTAGCTTGGTCCTGTGCTCAGGGTCTCACAAGGTTACAATCAAGGTGTTGGTAAGGACTGCAGTCCCATCTGAGGCTTGGGATCCTCTTCCCAGTTCAAGTGTTTGTTGGCAGAATTCATTTACTTGCAGCTGTCTAATTCATGGCAGCTTACTAATGATAGACAAGCTATCTATCTCATCTCAGCAGGAGGCTTAGGAAAGGCCTATACCATCTTTTAAGTGTTCACCTGATTAGGACAGGCCCACCCAGAGTGGTCTTTCCTTGGTTACCTTGAAATCAGCTGATTAAAGGCCTCAGTTACATCTGCAAAATCCTTTTACCTTTGCTATCTAAAGTAATATAATCGTAGGCATGATACCTCATCGTATCCACAGGTCCCACCCGCACTTGAGGGGAGGAGAGATTTCCACAAGGCATGTATATGATAGGGGGTTGGGAATATTGGGAGCCATCCTAGAATTCTGTCTACCACATCTGTGGTCAAATAAAACAGCCTATGGGGGCTTCCCTGGTGGCGCAGTGGTTGGGAGTCCACCTGCCAATGCAGGGGACGCGGGTTCATGCCCCGGTCCGAGAGGATCCCACGTGCCGCGGAGCGGCTGGGCCCGTGAGCCATGGCCGCAGAGCCTGCGCGTCAGGAGCCTGTGCTCCGCGGCGGGAGAGGCTACAGCAGTGAGAGGCCCGTGTACTGCAAACAAACAAACAAACAAACAAAAATAATGTAAAACAGCCTATGGACACTGAAATGTGAATATCAGAACATAATATTTCTGATATTCTGTCACAAAAATAATATTTTTTGATTATTTTTTTCGACCCTTAAAAGCAGTAAAAACCATTTTTGTGGGCTAGAAAAAATAAAAGCCAAGAAACAGGTAGCTGGCTGGATTTGGCCTGTGGGCTATAGTTGGCCATCCTCTGATATTAATCTGTAAAATGGAGTAAGACAGCCTTGGTAGCTTGGTTAAGAAATGGTTTCTAGAACCAGATGCTGGATCTAGAGGGTATGGCTTTGCAATGTGTGGGAGCAATGCTGGAGTTTAAGGGTGACCTGCTGGGTTATAAAATGCTAGATCCCTTCTCTCAGAGGTTGTTCTTCCTGTGACTTGGAAAGATCTACGCCTGAACAGACCAAAGACCAGAGCCACTGCCCTAAGTGCACATCCCATATGAGGACATGGGGAAACCTGAGAAGCTGGGCTACCAAACACCCCGAAGCCCCATATCGCCCAGTTGCTTTATGAAGGTGTCTCCTTTGTGCTTATCCATGCAAACTATAGCTTCTTTGCATTTTTCTGTTCAAGTGCCCGATCGAATCCTCTGTGGGGCTACTACAGCTTCACACAGTCAATCAAAGAGCAGCATGCTTTTTAGTGTTACTGAAAATGTAATTCTGCTGAAATGGAATTTATGGCATAGGAAACAATCATTTGCTTTTCGCATCACAAGGCACAATTACAGTTTCAGATAGTTGGGTTGTACATCTAGGCTAATTTTCATATTGTTCAAATCTAAATTTTCATCTGCACAAACCAAAAGATTAAGGATGTGAAAAACATTCTTGCTGCAGAAGCTCAAGAAAACTATAATAGTACTGTGTGAAACATTACATCTTAGAATCATGATATCCTGGTGTAACCACAAATGTACTTATCAAATGTTTATATGGTGCTTACTGTGTGCCAGGCACTGTGCTAAGCATGGTACAAATATTACTTTATTTAACCCTCACACTAACCCTTTGAAGACAGTATTATTATTGTCATTATCCTTGATAAGGAAAGAGAGGCACAGAGCACAGTTAAGTAGCAACTTGACCAATATCTCCTGCTTAGTAAGTGGCTGCCCTGGGATTTGAACCCCAGCAATTTCATTCCAGAGTCTGTTCTCTCAACTACTATCCTATGCTACTTCTCCAGCATATAATAATAATTTTAAAATGTTTCTGGAATATGCTGATGTAATTCATGGCATACAAATAATTAATATTTTAATGAAAATACTGAAATTAGTGTGAAAGTTCTTGAAGGTGACATCCTGCCAGGTGACTGAAGTGGCCAATTAAATGACCATCTTCCCTCTTGTCTAAGCTTCAGCAGGCTTGTTGATTAGCTTGTCAGCATGTCATCCAATATTTCTGCCAGCTTTGAGATTCTTTTCCAATAATGCCAATATCAGAATCTCAGTAAGGATCAGTTGCATGGCACACATTTGCCACAATTGTATTAATAATTCATCAGATTTTTTCAATTGATGTAGAAGTTTTTATTGTAAAATTATTCAAAATTTGTTACATTTCTATAATACGAGTGAAGATACTGAAATAACCATGTGATTTTATCAAAGACAAATTTGGTTCTATTCAAACATAAGATTTCTGATAGAGATGCCTGTTCTCAGAAGAATACTAATAATGTTTCAACTACCAGAGGCTTAGTTTTTATCAGTTGAAAGAGTTTCATTGTCAAGACATTTTCCAAAGACCCTAAATCAAAACAATGCCATTGCAATTTTCCGTGACACTTTTTTCAAAATGAAGAGGCAGAATATTTCTCCATGTGAATTTTTGCATTTTAATCAGAACTGAAGAGAAAGATAAAAAGTGAATGGTTTAATTCTAAAAATAAAAGAATTTTATAAGAAAATTACTAGTAATGTTAAATAATCATCGTGATGTGGATTTAGTGAGACTGATAAGGGAATAGGAATTAAATTACCTACCTTTAGAGGAGATATATTGAAAAGCCTTTAACAATTTTGTATTATTTGGAGAAAACAACAAAAACTTGTAAAAAGAATGATCTGAAGAAAGCACGGAATAATTTCTAGAATATTTTATTTTCTATTATTATGAAGACTTTTCAAAATGAGATCCTTATCTTAAATTATTGCTTGAATATTTGTTTGCTGAGTAGAAGCAGAAGAAAACAAAATTCCTCAGAAATATTTTCATGGAAAAACATATTAATACTTCAAGATTTCACACTACCTGGTATGACTCCAGTTCATCAGATCATTTTTGCTAACAACTTTTGGGAATTGCTAAAGTAATTGATATAAAATCTCTCTTGATAATCCAAGTGAATTACTCAGACTTTCCAAGAGGTGTTTGAAAAGGTAAAGAATAAATTCTAACTTCACAAGTTGAATTCTACAAATGAGCGTAAAAATGGAAAACCCTGTCAATCAGCTTCAACAGGGATGATGAAAATGAGAAAAACTGTATTAACCCAACTGTAATTTTTGGCAGAATTTTGTATTCATTCTCATGTACATTTACTCTTGTCAGTAAAAGGTGACTGGTTAAATATATAACTTACAAAATTTAATTTTTCTAATTTTTGAGACTTTCTAAAAATAAATTCACAAATAAAAAGCATGATTTGTCAGAACATGAATTCAAACTTGGGGCTTGTTGTAAATATGGTCACCATATGAGTGTTCTGGACCAGAAAGAATGAAGCCAAGAAGGAGTCACAGTGAATGGAAATGAAAGAAAAATGAAGTGTGGGCGATTTGAAGATTAATGTGGCCTTTTTTTCTGTCCAGAAGAAAACCATTGCAGACGTAAGACGATTCTTGATAAGGTAATAATCACTTACTATAATCAAACTCTATGTACTTCAGCTAGAAACTGCTGAGCACTAGGAAAGAGCTATTAGGCATTGTTAAAGCAATTGATCACTTCCATCATTGTTTGTACGGCTGGAACTTCACAATCAGAACGTATCATACTGCATAATGAGGCCTGCTGAACTTCACAAATTTGGAAGGACAAATTGGCTGGATGTTTACAAAACTGTAAGGCTGACATTTCCGAATTGAATATCGACAGAGAGTAAAAAAACATCATAATGTACATACATTATCTAGGCCCCCCGTGTTGGGATAACGCTTATAAATCTGACATTAGGCATGAAGAAAAGAAGCAAATAGTCTAAAAGATCTGGTAGTTAGTGTTTTGGAACAAGCAAAGGTTTCTGGCCGGGGCGGTGGAAAACACTCCTATTTCCTGAATAGAAAGTTATGAAATGGTTCATTCATTTGTCCAACAAATATTTATTGAGTGTGTGTATGTGCCAGGCACCATTCCAGGCGTGAGAAATACACTAGTGAAAAAGATGAATCATAGGGCTAAGGGTCCAGCAAAGCCACAGAGAGTGAGATAAAAATATCGTTGTGTGAAAGCTGGATTGACTTTGTAAAAAAGCAACACAGACTTTATTTACCCTTTGTATTGCCACTATTAAGTACTACTGGATGTCATGTAAATACAGTCAAACTTCTAATTAAAATTTCTTTTTCATGGAAGTTATATTTGACTAATACAGGTTATGCCACGGAATTGCACGTGCTTCTCTTAAAAAATGTAATATTTAACTATCACACAATCCCAGAATTCTGTTCATCTAGGTTTTCAAGAGAATTGTAGGCTGTTATACATGATCAACCAAATTAAAACTGATCTGCAAAAAAGCAGATTTAGCATATATGACCTAGGAAAATTCCAACTTTGAAGAAAACACAAACTCCATACAGCTCCACTTCATACTTTCCTATAGTTAAAAGCGTTTCCAAGGAATCCACACATTTGAAAAATATTTCTAATGTACTAAATTTAAGATGTTTGCATTATTTCTCACATGTACCAGGAAAATATTCTGATAGTTTTCTATAGACTAGTCCTGAAAAGCAAATAAAAATTTCCAAGTATTTCACACAGTGCTTGGCATATAATAAGAACTCATTTAATACTTATAGACAAGAGCAAGCAAATTGGGTATGACAAGTTAGCATCACAATAATTAAGTAGTGGTCAGATCCAGTTTTATGGAATCTGAAGCTTATCCAATTAGGGGGTCCCTCTTTAAAAGAAAGAATACAAAATCATACATATAAAATTAGCCATGAGAGTGAATGTCTATTTAGAATAAGAAAATAAATTACTACAAATTATAATATTTAAAATGATAGACAATGACAATGAATTTCTAAAATATGTTTTTGGCTCCCACCAGAATGTTTCATTTCATCATATTTATCAATAATCTACAAAATATAAAAAATGAATCTGAAATGAAGGCACACAAAACCGGAACACAAATGCATTTTTTAGAAGGCTGCTATGTTTTGTTTTGTTTTTTTTTTGCGGTACACGGGCCTCTCATTGTTGTGGCCTCTCCCGTTGCGGAGCACAGGCTCCGGATGCGCAGGCTCAGCGGCCATGGCTCACGGGCCTAGCCGCTCCACGGCATGTGGGATCTTCCCGGACCGGGGCACGAACCCGTGTCCCCTGCATCGGCAGGCGGACTTTCAACCACTGCGCCACCAGGGAAGCCCTGCTATGTTGTTTTGAGCTACATAATTGTGTGACCAAATTATTCCTATTACATGTAGTAATTTAAGAATTTTGTCACTGGAACACTTGTTCTGCCGTTTTGCTGTGCTAGAGGCAGATTTGTGTGCCACTTCATATGGAGCTGCCAGACCTCATGGGGACAAGATGTATCAGATATGGTAAGATCTGATCCGGTAGACACTGGGGTACGTACAACATGTGACTTCACACACAGGTGTACTCACTGCTTATCGTACCCCTATAAGCTTGTACCCTACGAACACGGGAATTCTATTAACTTCTGTTTAATGAGATCCCATCAAAAGATAGAACTATGTGTGTTGTGTTTATAATTGCATATACTGCATTATTGAGCATATGTCTAACAGAATGGGACTCCCATTTTGACTAGGCACTGTTGAGAACTGAATGCCCTGCTTAAGTTAGACATGTCTGACAATTAGAAAGCTTTTCCACAGACTAGCTATATTTTAAATCTTGTTTTTCCTGCACTAGCCACAATCTACCAGGTCTGGATGCTCTAGGACAGGTTTTTCTCTCTCTCTCTTTTTCTAATATTTATTTATTTATTTGGCTGTGCTGGATCTTAGTTGCCACAGGCGGGCTCCTTAGTTGGGGCTCACAGGCTCCTTAGCTGTGGCATGCGAACTCTTCATTGCGGCATGCATGTGGGACCTAGTTCCCTGACCAGGGATCGAACCTGGGCCCCCTGCACTGGAGCACGGAGTCTTAACCACTGTGCCACCAGGGAAGTCCCGGACAGGTTTCTCTTAAAATTCTACCCCTGAACCTGGACTTTGTGTCTGACACTAAGTGAGCCAGCACAGTGCAGGTGGAGTTGGAAAAGGGTCAAGTGGCCTTCTAATTTTAGATGGACCTCTTTATCCATTTGTTTCCAGACTTGGGACCAAGTACCAATGTTTGGGTTTCATAGCATTCAGCTGGCTGCTTGTGAATGGTACCAACTGCTGTTAAGACTAGCTCCCTTCCCCAGACCTGCTCACTGGCCAAGAGAACTTTACCAATGGGTTGGCACCTAATGTTGACACCTATTTGCACAATGGTGCAATAAAAGGCATCCTTCAAGTCCCTTTTCTTTGTAGCTTATCAATAAAGGGGAATCAGAGCTTGTGGCAACTTGATGGAGACAGCCTGTCAACAGGGATTGTGCCTGGGACCTTGACGCAGACTCATGCAAGAGAGGGAAGCTGTCAGGAGGGCTCTCATGCTGAATCACCTCCCACCCCTGGTACTACTGTTATGCCCTGAACCCTTTGGCCCAGACCTGCCAATTCTCTCCCTGTCAGGGCTGGATCCTACTATGCATTTTCCAGTCCCTGACTGGGGTCCTGTTCCCTCCTGAATGCACAGCCTGGACTTTAGAAAACAATCACCCTCTTGGGCAGCAACTCTTTTAGCTCACCCTAACCTGCAGATCCTTCCAGAACAGATGGAGCCCGAGGTCTCTGCCCCCTCGGGCACGAAGATCAAGTGGTACCTTTTGCCTCCCTATAGAAAGCAGACCTACGACTGAGCTTGCCTCCTAACTCGGGCACTGCCCTTCTCTTCCTCACCGGGCACTGTTGAGGTCGCGGGATTCCTGATGTCGAGAATGAGTGGGTTGTCGTGGGCTTCCTGGCGGATTCCCTAACTGCTCTCCTCACCCACAGCCCGGGGGCTGCGCACTGAGAAACGTGACGCAAGACCACCTAGACCCAGGCTTTACCTTCCTGAGGTCTACGTGGACAAGAACAGGCACGTACGCGGACACAGGAGGACCGAGGCCGGGGAGGAGCCACCTGCCCAGGGTGCCGAGGGCTGAGGATGGGCATGGGCCAGGAGCCATGGGTGATGCCCCCTGGGAGCTGGTGAGCCGTGATGGTGGTGATGGCACTTTCCTGGTCCCCAAGTGGTTCAGGTAGGAGGGACGGAAACAAAAAACTCTGCGGATATCCAGCACTCCTGTTTTCGTGGTTCCTGTGATTACACGTAGTGTGTGCACCTGTCTTATAGTTCGAAACCGGACTTTTTTGCGGTACGCGGGCCTCTCACTGCTGTGGCCTCTCCCGTTGCGGAGCACAGGCTCCGGACGCGCAGGCTCAGCGGCCATGGCTCACAGGCCTAGCCGCTCCGCGGCACGTGGGGTCTTCCCAGACCGGGGCACGAACCCGTGTCCCCTGCATCGGCAGGCGGACTCTCAACCACTGCGCCACCAGGGAAGCCCGAAACCGGACTTTTTAATATACCTATTATAGTTACACACTGTTTAATAAAAAGTGCCGAGAAGCAGTGTGATTCTTTCGGATCCTCGCTTCTTCTCCTGACAATGAGCAGCAGGTGCCACTCACTTGAGACTTTCCCTATCACTCTGCCTGGATTCCAGGGGGAAAAGCGCGTCCTCATACTGCATACTAGCTTTCTCTCCTGTGTCTTTCTCCTCTGCCTGGGGTACGCTTTGTCCCCTTCTTCATCTAGCTAATTCTTCATCCTTCAAAATACTCCCTGTCTATCACCTCTTCAAGAAAGCCTCTTCTGACACCCCTGAAGTCTGGATTTGGTCCCAGCCTGCATGCTCCTCTGACAGCCCTGCCTGCCTCTGCCGTGACGCTCAACCCACTGCCTTTCTAGGCTGACTGGCCACCCATCTGAGTTCCCAATAACTGCGACATCTTGAAAAGAGGAATTACATCTTTTATCTTTATATTTCGATGCCTAGTGTCCAGTAAATATGCAGTAGGTGTTTGTTGAATGAATGAATGAGATTTATTGACTTTGGGGGGCATCAAACCATTCCAGACCCTAGTGATCTCAAATCCAGCATATTCTGCAGAAACTGATTGAATATCGATCCCTTGCCATCGCTTCATATTTTAAGGAAAGGTCTTTTGAAAATATGATATGCAGCTGTAAAACAACAAAACTGATTCCACAAGCCACACATAAATGTCGGTCTCATTATTTTATAACCACCCTTTGTAAGTGACTAAGAAGATTTGAAATGATTGAGTTGCACTCAGATTTGAACACATGCTTCAAGAATCATAACTTTGCTTAGTATAAAACTTAATAGTTTCAATTACAATTGTTGGGAAGAATCAGGCTGGCAAAGATTTTCAAATAGGATTTAATTTCATTTCTGTCATAACTTTACCTGGTTTATTCCTATGCCCTAACTTTCACATTCTGTTTCTCAGTGAAATCTACACCCGTGTCCTTGGAGACTCTCGTCATGGACATAAACCTGCCGCACAGAGAAGACGCTCTGCGACTTACTCAGTTCCACAAAGTGTACTGAATGCTTGCTACTCACACTGCGCCATTGCTGCGATAAGATCACGGAGACTGGATATTTGTATACAATATTTTTTGGGTTTGAATCCTTCATTTCTCAATTCCACAAACATTGTCACACTCTCACACGAGTTCACCGGGCACTGCTGTAAATGCCGTGGTGGTAGGGACAGGGGAGATCAATGTGTTCCTGATTTCAGAAAAATTCCAGTTTAGCTTGGGAGATAAAATACACAGATGTAACATGTTTAACATCAACACTGAAGTTTAATAGCGACAGGAACTGATAACATAACAAACATCCTACGATTAAGTCCCATCCCTCCTGGCTCTCCCTGGCTTTCGGGGTTCACCCTCACAGCAAGCCAGGCTGTGCTGGAGAGACAGGGGTTTCAGACGCAAGCTGGTGTTTGAAAACAGGGGCAAGTTACTGGCTTCAGTTGCTTCACTTGTATCTAGTGTGCATAGAATTATTGGGAAGAGTACAGGTGGAAACGCAGGTCGAAGTGGTGGTAGAAAACTCTCAATTCCTGTTCTCTTTCTTCTTCTAGTTTCTAGACGAACTAAGTACAGCCTGTGCTAAAGCAAGTTCCCAATGATCCAGGTGCCTGCCACGCCTTCCCCAGGGTTACAGGTGACACCAGCACCAGCCCCGACACAGTCAGCCGAAGACAGCACTGGTTGGGGGTGAGAGAAAGAGTGGCCGGATTCTTCAGTCTGTAGAGGGTGGTGTTGGCGACAAGAAGATTTCCTCTCTTCTCTGTGGAAGAAGGAAGAGGGGGCCTTCGCCCACCCCTAAGCCTAATTGGAGGGCAGGGGGCTTTGAGAAACTCTTGTTTAGATTGGGGGTGTCTGCACCACAGGTAGGAAGGCATCTCGCTGCCCAGCTTAGCTGTCATTGCCTGCCCTGGAGCTACTACTGGGGCAGAATGGGGTGTTTGGAGGAGTCCTCAGGGGAACCTGAAGGTGAGGGATGTATTCAAACGTGGAAATTAGTGCCACTCTCTTCACGAAGTAGGAAGAGTTGCGAGTAAACCTGGGAGGGAAAGGATGAATGCAAGCCCACTCGCATTCCCAGGGGCCTCTAGAGGGTTTGGAGGAGATGAAACAGGACCACGCTATTGCCCACGGCCCCCAGGAAGGGGCGGGAAGTAGAGGAGGGGCCCCGGTGGCTTCTGGGGCCAGCCAGGCAGTGCCTTTACTCAGAGAACTGGCTGAAGGCGCGGATTCCTGGTTGGGCCAGGTCATGACTGCCTCTTTGAGATAGTCCTGGGGACAGAGGAGCTGGAGTGAAACTGAGCAGCACCCCAAAAAATCTACTTCCATCGTCTATAAGGAAACCACCGTATAAAATCAAACCAAATCAGAATGAGGTCTGAGAGCCGCCCTACAGTGGTACCACTCTCCCACCAGAGAGGACAGCTTTGAGGGAGAGGAGGCTGGAAATGTTTCAGAATGACACCAGGCCAGCACCCTGACGCTCTCCCCCTGTCAGCGCTGGAAGAAAGGGCAAGAAGTGGGATTTAAAGCACCTTTCAGATAAGCCCGAAACTGAGCTGGGCTTTTATAATCAAAAAGGATTGCAAGTTATAAAAATCTGCCCAGGACGTCACTGGCAGAAGAAAAAGGAAGGTGATTTGACATAGCACAGCTGGAGTAATGATGGGAAGAAATGAAATGGATTCATGTTTATCCCACTACTAAGAGTCCTTAACAAACTCCAGGCCCACGCAGGGACACACACGAGCAGAGATGCTCGTCCCCAGGACGAGTTAGACAGGAAGCTCGTCTTCAGGGACGTGCTGGTGGCCTCCCTCCCCTCACCCCCTTTCCACGTCTGCTCAGAATATGACTCCCCACACCTCAAGCAGGAGGAACAGGAACCTCCAGCTTAGCAGGATGAGGGCTTAGATCAAATTAGATTGAGTTAAAAAGGGCTGCCTGAGTAGTGTCTGGAGCCAGAATCCTGTGTCCTCTTGGTTAATTTTTTCAACCTCAGCTTTTCCACCTATAAAACGAGGATGAATAAAAAAACCTGCCTTTGAAGGTTGTTTGGGGTTCTTTTGAAAAGAAAATGAGTTTATGATTGTAAGGCACTTAAAACAGTGTCCTGCATGTAGTAAGCATTAAATATATGGCTATATATTTGGGGGATGTTTCTTGCCTGTGCAAATTTATGAAGTAAAAATTATGCCTCCAACTTCCAGTTTCCTGCTTGGCATGGAGGAGCTTAGAAGTTACCACTCCATCCTAACAAGTAAAAAACTAAACAAACTGGAAATTAACAACTCTTCTTAGGGCTGTCAGAGAAGTGAGGTCACAGGGCAAGCCACAGTCCCCAAAATTGGAGAGATAGGCAGATGCGGAGAATCACAACTTACCAGAGCAGGAACCCACAAACAGAAACTTCTGCAGGAAATTAAATAACATGAATTTAGTAAGCAGCACAGGTTCATTTTGAACCCAGACTGTCTCTCCGCATAGCATGCCTTTTTCACGCAATGAACATTTATTATGTGCATAAGTGCCAAGCTCTGATACAAAACAGGTTAAGATGGTTATGCTCTTACCTTACCTGTGTGGTTGGTGACCTTGATGTCTATCTGGGGAGATCCCAGAGACGCTCTGTTTAGGAAGACAATGGAGATACTGGCCATGTGCCCCCACTACTCTTACAGGTGAAATCTGTCTGATTCCCAGGGCTGCAAGTACCCAAGCTGATGTCCTTGTACCAGAGGCTTCCTCCTTCCATTTGTGTCACCCAACCTAAAAGGCATGGCTATAATGGAGAACATGAGCATCTGCCCTGAAGGAGCTGAGATAACCTTGAAGGGAATAAATGATCGTGCATATTGATGGACCGATTTGAGTACTTATTGATTCCTGGTAGCTTGGATTCTTAGCTCATATAATAGGTGGGAAGGGTCACTTATAATTAAGGCTACAGAATACTTTTTTCTAAACCCAATAAACCCTTGGGGGATCTTTTTATTTTTGTTTATAAATACTCAATTGATGGAGAATGCAGCGTGGCCTGTGGCTTTGTGGTTATTGATTTACAGGCCTAATTAACAGAGCCTCAAAACCGATAGGTGGCTACAGAGGCAATCCTGAGCAGAGGGCAAACATGATTCCCTTTTGGGAAATTGATAACGCAGAAAGGAATTCTCCTAATGGGAGTGCCTATTGGAAAGGAACCCTGTTGATTTTTTCTTCCTGAAGGAGGGGGATTCTTCCTGGAGGAATCTACCTCACTCTAAACTGGATCAAGTGCAAAAACCAGGATCAAGAGTGAATGTGATATATCTGGGATTCTGCTTCTCTTTCTACTCAATCACACACAATTGTTAAGTCACTTGCATTTATTTAATGTCTGGCACTCTCAAAATAGCCTTCCAAGATCTTCCTTCTTTTTTTCCATCACCATCATGCCATGAGGCAGACAGAAAAATCATATTCTTGGCTATGTAAGAGAGCAGAATGAGGCTGAGAGTCCATCGGTGGATTTCAAGGGAATGGACAGTTAGTAATATTGCAGTTGGAACATCCATTTATCTGCCCGTCCATCCATCCATTCATCCATCTATGCATCCATTATACATTTACCAGACATTGTGTTTATATCTGGAGATACATAGATAAACAAAACACAAATCCCTGGCTTGGGAGCTCACGCTCTCGTAGGGAAGAAGGGAAGACAACTGTGCAAGCAAATGTAGACATCCTCCTTATCCAAATATAATTTTTAAAAAAAGTGTTGGATTGCATATTTTCAGGTAAGGTATATTTCAATATACTCTATTGTTTTAAATTGGAAAAATGACGTGTCCCCATCCCATTCAAAAACCCCAATTAGGGCTTCCCTGGTGGCGCGGTGGTTGAGAGTCCACCTGCCGATGCAGGGGACACGGGTTCGTGCCCCGGTCCAGGAAGATCCCACATGCCGTGGAGCGGCTGGGCCCGTGAGCCATGGCCGCTGAGCCTGCGCGTCCGGAGCCTGTGCTCCGCAACGGGAGAGGCCACAACAGTGAGAGGCCCTCATACCGCAAAAAACAAAACAAACAAACAAAAAAACCCAATTAATTTCTCCAAAAATCTTTTAAAACACTTACAAACACCTATAAAACTATCCACTAAAGATTTCTGATTTAATATAAAACATCTAAACACCAATCATCTAATGTTTTAGTACTTAATGAACTCCTTATGGTTTTGTGTAGTATACAGTGACATGGAAGAGCACTGGATATGAATCATGTTTTACTTCTATTGCAAAGGACAGATCCTCAGTGCATCCCATTCAGATTGTGACCATCAGTCCATTGTATGTGGTCTTTCTCTAGATTTAAAAGAATCTTGCCATGTCCAGTGAAGCATTCCAGAAACAAAAACACTTGCAAAATTTTTCTGCACTGGTCGGGATTATGATGGTGGAGTAGAAAGATTCTGAGCTCCCCTCTTCGCATGGACACACCAAAACTACAACTACGTACAGAACAACTATCTGTGAGAACAACCTGAAGACTAGCAGAACAGATCTTCTACAACTAAGGATATAAAGAAAAGGCCACACTGAGATGGGTAGGAGGGGCTGAGACTCAGTCTCATCAGAACCCACATTCCCAGTGCAGTGACCCATAAGCAGGAGGGCTATCACAACCTTGGAGGTGCCCCCTGAGGTGTGAGTTGTCTGAGCCCCACGTTGGGGTCCCCATCCTGGAGGACCTGCATTGGGAAGATGAACCCCCATTATGTCTGGCTTTATAAAACCAGTAGGGCTTATATCTGGGAGAGCCGAGGGCTGTGGGAAACTGAGATTCCGCTCTTGAAGGACTCATGCACAAACTCACTCACTCCAAGTCCCATCACAGAGCCAGTTGCTTGAAAAGTACCTGGGTCGTACAAAAAGGAAATTCATTAGTTAATTTTAGTGCATGTGCTGGAGGGGCAGGGATCTGGTGGAACTTTCTCCAGGGATAGAAGTGCTGGCAGTCACCATTTTCTTTTCACTCTCCTTCCACCTACTTGTCCTGGTGCTGGTGAATGCCATTTCTAACACTCTCCATCAACCTAGATAACGCTGTGTGCCCCATCCCAGTGTTCCCCTGAGGACCCACCCTCTCCAACCTGCCCACCCTAGCTGGCCCCTACAAACACTCCTGCCCTACTCCACATGGTGGGCTGCCCTGGCTGACAATGGTGCCCCTCCAAAGTGGGCATTCTAGGGGCCTAGCCCCACATATGAGCACACCCACAACAGTTGCAGCTGGGCCTTGTAATTAGTCATGTTGAGGGCCAGTCCTGCACATCCACACACCTGCAGCAATTGCAGCCCAACCACAACAGGAGGGTACACATAGCCCACACATAGCCCCCAGAGCACCTGGCTCTGGTGACCAGGGGGATTGTACCCTTGAGCCCCACATGATGCCTCTACATAAGACCAGTTTTTCAAACCAAAGACATCACTGATATACCTAATACATAGAAACAAACACAGAGGGGCGAAATGAGGAGACAAAGGAATACTTCCCAAACAAAACAACCAGACAAAACCTCAGGAAGAAAAGTAAATGAAATAGAGATAAGTAATTTACCAGATAAAGAGTTCAAAGTAATAGTCATAAAGATGCTAACTGAACTTGGGAGAAGAATGGATGAACTCAGTGAGAACTTCAACAAAAAGACAGAAAACATACAAAAGAACCAACCAGAAGTGAAGAAACAATAACTGAAATGAAAAATACACTAGAGGGAATCAACAGCAGATTAGAGGATGCAGAAGAATGGATCAGTGATCTGGAAGTCAGGGTAGTAGAAATCACCTAACTGGAACAACAAAAAGAAAGAAGAATTTTAAAAAATGAGGATAGTTTAAGGGACCTCTGAGACAACATCAAGTGCTCTAATATTCATGTTATAGGGGTCCCAGAAGGGGAAGAGAAAGAGAAAGGGACGGAAAACCTATTTGAAGAAATAATGGCTGAAAACTTCCCTAACTTTGACCAAGGAAACAGATATTCAAGTCCAGGAAGCACAGAGAGTCCCAAACAAGATGAGCCCAAAGAGACCCACACCAACACACATTGTAATTAAAGTGTCAAAAGTTAAAGAGAAAACCTTAAAAGCAGTAAGAGAAAAACAACTATTTATGACAAGGGAATCCCCATATGACTATCAGCTTATTTTTCAGCAGAAACTTTACAGACTGGAAGGGACTGGCATGATATATTCAAACTGCTGAAAGAGAAGAACTTACAGCCAAGAATATTCTACCTGGCAAGGTTAACATTCAGAATTGAAGGAGAGAGAAAGAGTTTAATAGATGAGCAAAAGTTAAAGGAGTTCATCATCACTAAACTGGCCTTACAAGAAATGTTAAAGGGACTTCTTTAAATGGAAAAGAAGAAGCCATCACTAGAAACAAGAAAATTATGAAAGAAAACATTCTCACTTTGTAAAGGCAAATATATAGTAAAGGTAGAGGACCAGCTGAGGTCAGGAAAATCCTGGGCTGAAAATCAGGGGACCCCACTTCAAGACCAGTCTGGCTTTGGGACTATAAGGGAATAGAGGCTGTAGGATCATGCTACCCCTAAAGACTCCACCAAAAAACTATTAGAACTAATAAATGAATTCAGTAAAGTTACAGGATACAAAATCAACATACAGAAATCTTTGGCATTTCTGTACGCTAATAACAAACTACCAGAAAGAGAAGTTAAGAAAACAATCTCATTTACAGTTGTATCAACAGGAATAAAGTAACTAGGAATAAATTTAACCAAGTAAGGAAAAGACCTATGCTCTGAAAACTATCAGATATTGATGAAAGAAATTGAAGACTACACAAATAAATGGAAAGATAGGCTGTGACCGTGGATTGGAAAAATTAATATTGTTTAAATGTCCATACTACCCAAAGTAATCTACAGATTCAGTGCAATCCTTATCAAAATAACAATGGCACTTTTCACAGAACTGGAACAAATAATCTTAAAATTTGTGTGGAACCACAAAAGACCCCATATAGCCAAAGCTTAAGCAAATCTTAAGAAAGAGGAACAAACCTGGAGGTGGTATGCACACTTATTTTAAACTATACTACAAAGCTATTGTAATCAAAACTGTATGGTACTGGCACAAATACAGACACATAGATCAGTGGAACAGAATAGAGAGCACAGAAATAAACCCATGCTTATATGTTCAATTAATTTATGACAAAGGAGCCAAAAGTATACAGTGGAAAAAAGTCTCTTCAATAAATTGTGTTGGGAAAACTGGACAACTACATGCAAAAGAATGAAACTGGACCACTTTCTTACACCATATACAAAAACAAACTCAAAATAGATTAAAGACTTAAATGTAAGACCTGAAACTATAAAACTTCTAGAAGAAAACATAGGCAGTATGCTCTTTGACACTGGTCTTAGGAATATTTTGGTGGGATCTGTCTCCTCAGGCCAGGGGAAAAAAAAACAAAAATAAACAAATGGGACAACATAAAGATAAAAGCTTTGGCACAGTAAAGGAAACCATCAACAAAATGAAAAGGCCTCCTACCAAATGGGAGAAGATATTTGCAAATAATATGTGCAATAAGCGTTTAATATCCAATATATATAAAGAACCAACAATAACAAAAAAGAACTCACACAAGTCAATATAAAAAGAATCTGATTAAAAAATGGGCAGAGGACATGAATAGACATTTTTCCAAAGAAGACATACAGATGGCCTACAGACACGTGAAAAGATGCTCAACATCACTCATCATCAGGGAAATGCAAATCAAAACCACAGTGAGATATCACCTCACACCTGTCCGAATGGCTATTGTCAAAAAAACAACAAATAACAAGTGCTAGTGAGGATGTGGAATAAAGGGGACATTTGTGCACTGCTGATGAAAA